CCTTACAGTGCTGAAGGAGGCCATTCTGTCCTTCGAGTCTGCACCGACCCTCTGAAGAGCATCCCACCCAGATCCAACCCTTTACCCTAGCCCTGTAACCCTACATTTCCCAAAGCTAACCCACGTAGCCTGCACATCCCTGAACACTATGGGGCAATTTAGCATGGCCAATCCACCCTAACCTGTACATCTTCCAGACTGTAGGTGGAAACCGGCGCACCCGGAGGAAACCCACGCAGACACAGGGAGAATGTGCAAACTCCACACAGACAGTCGCCCGAGGGTGGGAATCGAACCCGGGTCCCTGGTGCTGTGAGGCAGCAGTGCTAACTGCTGTGCCACCGTGCCATAAACTCTCTAGCCCTCCTTCAGTGGGACTTCTACCTGCAAAGGCTGAGGGTGTTTTAAGGTCACATTTCATCTCAAAGTCCCTTCGCATCGCACTCCCTTCGCATCGCACTGGAATTTCAGTCTACATCTGACCCTGCATTGGTATATAAACTCAGAGTCAAACACAATTACGCCAATCCACAGAATTATTGGAACACAACAGTGTTCCCTAGGCAGCATTCCCTGCCCAACAGTGGGAATGGGGACTGAGTCTTTGTACCCTTACACCCCCTAAAGCATTGCTAAGCAAAGGCCAAGAATTCCCTCCCTGTTCCCTGGCTAAATCATGCCCCTTCAAACCAGTAACCTGCGCTAACCTCCCCTTCGTCTGGCACAGTGTGAAATGGGGTTTGGTAATGACTTCTGTGAGGCGCTCTTCCCACATTGAAGGCGCTACATAAATGCAAGTTGCTGCCGAAATCCCAGTGACTGGCAAAGATAATCGGACAACTAACAATCATGGCAGTGGGGTACATGGTCTGTCACTTTATCAGTGTTTCTCACTTTGGATTGCAGCACGGCTGGGATCAATGAACACAGGAGTCTGGCATTTTTGCTGCTTTCTGCCATATCCTTCATTGACTTCATATAAAACATGCTCTGGACTGCGAAACCAGTTACATGAGGGAACATGTTAGCAGCCATCGTGCTGTCATATAGTCAGACAGTGGATGAATAATTAGTTTGGCTTCTGATGGTGGCGTTGGGGTTGGAATGTCACCTCCAGTTTTGGAAGAACTCCCTGCTTCTCTTCAAACAGTAGTGTGAGGATTCATAGAACATAGAACATTACAGCGCAGTACAGGCCCTTCGGCCCTTGATGTTGCGCCGACCTGTGAAACCAATCTGAAGCCCATCTAACCTACACTATTCCATTATCATCCATATGTTTATCCAATGACCATTTAAATGCCCTTAAAGTTGGCGAGTCTACTACTTTTGCAGGCAGGGCATTCCACGCCCTTACTACTCTCTGAGTAAAGAACCTACCTCTGACATCTGTCCTATATCTATCACCCCTCAATTTAAAGCTGTGTCCCCTCGTGCTAGCCATCACCATCCGAGGAAAAAGGCTCCCACTGTCCACCCTATCTAATCCTCTGATCATCTTGTATGTCTCTATTAAGTCACCTCTTAACCTTCTTCTCTCTAACGAAAACAGCCTCAAGTCCCTCAGCCTTTCCCCATAAGACCTTCCCTCCATACCAGGCAACATCCTGGTAAATCTCCTCTGCACCCTTTCCAATGCTTCCACATCCTTCCTATAATGCGGTGACCAGAACTGTACGCAATACTCCAAGTGCAGCCGCACCAGAGTTTTGTACAGCTGCAACATGACCTCATGGCTCCGAAACTCAATCCCTCTACCAATAAAACCTAACACACCGTACGCCTTCTTAACAATGCTATCAACCTGGGTGGCAACTTTCAGTGACCTCTTTCCATTTGACTGAAATAACAGATAAGATGAAGCAGCTCTCTTTCAGCGTGATACTCAAATAGCTCCATTATTCGGGGCTGAGTTGGAACTGAAGCTACACCGACCTGCGGACTCTGGAACTCTGAAACAAAAACAGAAATTGCTGGAGAAACTCAGCAGGTCTGGCAGCATCTGTGCAGAGAGAAAAATAGAGTTAGCGTTTCAGGTCCAGAGTTACGAAGAGGGTCACTGGACTCGAAAAGTTAACTGTTTCTCTCTCCACAGATGCTGCCAAACCGACTGAGTTTCTCCAGCAATTTATGTTTTTGCCACATTGACAGAAAACTGGCCAAGCCACAAATGTGGCTCATAATGGTTCATTCCTAAGAATCCACGTGGACTGCAGCTGTTCAAGATGGGAGCTCGCCTCCACCTTCTTAAGGACGGCTAGGGACGGGCAATAAATGCTGGGCCAGCCAGTGACGCCCAGGTCCTACAAATCAGTAAAAACAATTTCAGATTTTGTCGAGGCATTAGAAACCATGAGGGACCTCCGATATCGAGAGATTGTTTGCATTGGAGGAAGAATCAAGAACCCTATCGCCTTGCAACCCTGCAGCCCAAAGGTCTCGATGTGGACTTTACGAGCTTCAAAATCTCCCCAGCCCCTTGACCTCATCCCAAGACCAACCCGTCTTGTCCCCACCTCCTCGACCTGTCCGTCTTTTCTCCCACCTATCCGCTCCTTCCACCTCACTGACCAACCCCCACCTCCACTTCCTACCGACTCGCCTCAGCCCCGTCTCCTTGGCCTGTCCATCTTCCCTCCCACCTACCCGCCCCTCCCTCCTCACTGACCAACCCCCATCCCAACTCCCTACCTACACTCACCTGTACTGGCTCCATCCCCGCCTCCCTGACCTGTCCATCTTCCCTCCCACCTATCCCCCCACGCCCCCACCCCCCTCACTGACCAACCCCCATCCCAACTCCCTACCTACACTCACCTTTACTGGCTCCATCCCCGCCTCCTTGACCTGTCCATCTTCTCTCCGTCTATCTGCTCCACTATCCACCTTCCATCATCGCCTTTCCGCTCTCTCTATTTATTTCAGAGCCCCCTTTCCCTCCCCCATTTCTGAAGAAGGGTCCAGACCCGAAACGTCAGCTTTCCTGCTCCTCTGATGCTGCCTGGCCTGCTGTGTTCATCCAGCTCTATACCTTGTTATCAAGAACCAGAGGGTACAGGTTTAAAAAGAAGTGATGGAGACAGGACCGACTGTGGTCAGTCGGATCTCAAACGGTGATAAGACAGGGTACAGGAGAGAGGTAGACAGCTTCGTGGTGTGGTGTAAAGATAACAATCTCTCCCTCAATGTCAGCAAAACAAAGGAGCTGCTCATCGACTTCAGCAAATGGAATGGAGGATCAACGGTGCTGAGGTGGAGATGGTCGAGAGCTTCAAGTTCCTTAGAGTAAGTATCACCAACAATCTCTCCTGGTCCATCCATGTTGACGCTACGGTCAAGAAAACACACCAACGTCCCTACTTCCTCAGGAGGCTAAGGAAATTCGCCATGTCCACAATGGCTCTTCCCAATTTTTATAGATGCACCTTAGAAAGCATCCTATCTGGATGGATCACAGCTTGGTTTGGCAACTGCTTTGCTCAAGACCCAAAGAAATCACAAGGGAGTTGTGAACGCAGCCCGGTCCATCATGAAAACCAGCCTTCTGTTCCATTGGCACGGCCGAAAATGGGTGGAACGATAAACTAGAGGATGCTCAAGAAATCAGAAACTAGGTGAGGGCAGGTATCTCGGAGCGATGTGTGGCTGGAGAAGATTACAGAGGTGGAGGTATAAAGTTTGGAGGGATCCAGAAACAAGGATGAGAATTTTACCATCGAGGCACCCTTGAGTGGGTGCCAAAAGAAATCAGCAAACACAAGAGGAACAGGGCCCGGTCTGAGTAAGGAGAGAGGCATCAGAGTTTTGCATGACCTTAAGTTTGCAAAGTGAGTCCAATAAGAGAGTGCCTGAACAGATATAGAGAAAGGGCCTACAATTAGGAATGATTTTCCTCCGTACCTGACACACTTGATTCCCACGAAAAGAAACAAGAGAGAAAAAAAGAAACGCTCTGCTAAGAGGGTCATCCATCATGTTGACAATAGCAGCTTCACGTAAAGGAAGGCAATTTTATTTTCAAGGCCAGATGCCCAGAGGAACTCAAACAATGCATTAATTTGCCACTGATTTGCTAACACTGACAGGAAGGCCCTGTCAAAAGGACAGAGCAAGACCTTTTCAGCCACAGGTAAACGTTGATGGTAACAGTTAGCAATTAGAAATGGCTTTGGGATCTGTGCAGGTGCAGTACAGCCCTCAGTGACTGTTACCATCACCATCAAACTGTCAGCTCGTTCTCTCCCCTGCTCTTTGTTCCCTAGTCACAGACACGCTAACCTGACCTGTGACAGATAAACCTGGTGAAACTGGGAGTCTGGGAGCCCGAGGGGGAAGGTCAGGGGACTGGGCTGAGCCCCTTCAGCCACGTTGCTGACATTTAGTCTCATGCCAGGGGAACCCAGACCCAGAGCTGGTTACAAACGGGGTTCAGTTCTCTCGGTTAGAATCATTAAGTGTGTCCCTTTATTAACTCATTCGAGGAAGGCTCTCAAAAACACGTTTAAGTTTAGATGCCTTCGTGGTTTTTTATGCCATTGGATGTGGGTGTTACTGGTTACATGGAGATTTGTTGCCCGTCCCTAATTGCCCAGAGGGCAGTTAAGAGTCAACCACATTGCTGTGGGTCTGGAGTCACATGTAGGCCAGACCAGGTAAGGATGGCACTTTCCTTCCCCTAAAGGGCATTAGTGAACCAGATGGGTTTTTCCTGACAAGCGACAGTGGAGACTGAGGGTGTGCTGCACTACAGAGAGCTCTGTCTTTCAAACGAGACGTTGAAATGGGATGCTGGGAGTTAAAATCGCATGGATTCAACGTTGAAGGGGCTGGGGAATTCTCACTGGTGTCCTCCCCACCGCCAACGCCAACAAGTTGGACAATCCGGTCATGACCACGTTGCCGTTTGTGGGATCTCACTGTGCACAAGGGAGCAAAATTTGTTTCCCGCATCCCTGCTGACATTTCCCTCTCAAATCAACACAGGCAAACGATTCTGGTACCTGACCACAACGCTGTTTTGTGGGATCTTGCTGTGCTGCTAACCGGCTGCTGCCTTTCATCACGTCCGATTACGCCTCTGGAGTACTTGTTGTTGGCGATAGCCCCCACCGAGTCTGCGAGGAGGCGGTACGTAAATGCAATTTCTTCCGCCTGCCCCCACTTTCAAAGTCTCGACAAAGTTCACAGCTTTCACCAAGCTCCGTCCTCATGGATCGTGGTGTTGACCGCACTGTACGGTCACTCCAAGGGTCAGGTGGGGGCCAATGAGAGCCGCTCGGTGGTGTACCAGAGATCTACAGCATCATCAAGAGGGAGCCTGACCCTTGCACTATGGCACTCAGCAATCAGTGACCGCCCCCCCCAACAACCCCACCCCCCACCCATAGCCACACAGATCCAACCACCACAGGCTCCAACAAAATCAAAATTAAAAGCTCCTGGCTTCGATTCAAGGTTACAGATGCATCCCGGGGAACTCCAGCAAGTCTCTAAGCTGCTCTGAGCTCTCTTGGATCCTAAATTTCCAAGTGCTGGCTTTCCCAATCGTACAAATGGCCAGCACTCAGGTTAAACATTGATAGCTATCACTCTCACTGGAGTGCATCATGCCACAGAGGGAGAGGGGGCATGAATTCAATCTGCTGTGTGACTTTTTAATTGAGTACAGTCCTGGATTTCTCCAACCCCGTCGGGAGTGCATCAGCAAGCTGGGAAAGTCCAGGGGAACTGGCTGCATTGTCTTATTCGCCTGCATGGCTGGAAAGTTCCTCCACTGCTGGCATTCTAGAAATGTTCAGGCTGGACGAGAAACCAAGCTGGCTCTATCGGTGACTGTGCAATTTGCCTGCTTGGAGTCACGTCAGACTCAAAACTGAAGACAAAGGCTCCATTTCGCTGTTTGTCACTGGAAAATGCAGTAAAGGCTTGGATGAGCTGTCCCTTTAGCTAATGCTTGGCACACTTGGAGCATTGAGTATGGGAGGTGGGCATCATTTCTGGCTGTGCAAGACACTGGCGGATGCCACGTTTGGAATACTGCGTACAATTCTGGTCGCCAATCTATAGGAAAGATATCATTAAACTAGAAAGGGTTCCGAAATGATTTACAAGGATGTTACTGAGACTGGAGGGTTTGAGTTATAAGGACAGGCTGGGACTTTTTCCCCCTGGAGCGTAGGAGGTTGAGGGGTGACCTTACAGAGGTTTATAATATCATGAGGGTCTTAGATAAGGTGAATAGTCAAGGTCTTTTCCCTAAGGTGGGTGAGTTCAAAACTAGAGGGCATAGATTTAAGGTGAGTGGGGAAAAGATTTAAGAAGGGACCTGCAGGGCAACTTCTTCACAGAGAGGATGGTGCATGTGTGGAATGAGCTGCCAGAGGATAGGAAGTGGATAGGAAAGGTTTAGAGGGATATGGGCCAAATGCAGGAAAATGGGACCAGTTCAGTTTAGGAAACCTGGTCAGCATGGACAAGTTGGGCTGAAGGGCCTGCTCCTGTGCTGTATGATTTGATTGGATTTGATTTGTTACTGTCACGTGTACTGAAGTACAGTGAAAAGTGTTGTCTTATGTCCTTTACAGGCAAATTATACCATACAAGTGTATCAGGGTAACAGAACAGAGTGCAGGATACAGTTCTATAGCTGCAGAGCAAGAGAGATCAACATTTAACGTTTGAGAGGTCCCCATTCATAAGTCTGATAACAGCAGGGAAGAAGCTGGTCTTGAATCTGTTGGTGAGTGTGTTCAAACTTCTGTACCTTCTGCTTGATGGAAGAGGGTGGAAGAGAGTATAACTGGGGTGGGAGTGGTCTTTGAATATGTTTGTTGTTTTCCTGATGCAATGGGAAGTATAGATGGAATCAATGGATTGGGGGGTGGGTGGTGGGGTTGGGTTGGTTGGTTTGTGTGATGGACTGGGCTGTGATCACAACTCTCTGTAGCTTCTTGCAGACTTGGGAAACAGCAGTTGCCATGCCACACTGTGCTGTATCCGGATAAGATGCTTTCTGTGCAAATTTGTGAGAGTCTTTACTGACACGCTGAATTTCCTTAGCCTCCTGAGGAAGTAGAAGCATGTTGGGCTTTCTTGATTGTAGTGTCAACATAGGTGGACCAGGACAGATTGCTGGTGCTCGTCACTCCCAGGAACTTTTCACTCTCGACTCCTAACTCTATGTTCAGCAGCTGACTACCCACATCCACTTTGCGGAGAAGTTTATAAAAATATTTATCTTTAAGGCTGAATGACCTCAATGTTATTTACCACTTGAATCAGACTGTCAGATTTTATTATCTTTGCAAGACACACCCTACACATTGAACCTACATGTTCCAGAGAACTGGGAGCTTGGGTCAGGTTCAAGGAATCCACTCAATTGGTGCCTCTGGAAGTCGTTGAAGGGAATGGAGTGTTAAATTCCTGTAGACGTGCTCTTTTCCAGAACTCCCACTGTTGTTGCCGCTCACCCTGCACGCAGACGGTGGGAAATCAGGGTCAACACTTACACTTCAGTGCACATGTTCGTGATAGCATGCCAGAAACGTGGGCCAAAAGGACTTTCTCAGCTTTAAGCGAGTTGCGAGAGCACTCTCAGCCGTGTCTGAAGCTTGAGAGTTCCAAGTCCCGTCCCTCAGACTTCAGCGCAGTACCGAGGGAGTATCGCCCCGTTAGACATGCTACTGTCTACCATAGTTACCCAGATGACAACTAGGACTATAATTCAAAAGGGTATTCTGAGGCCTGTGGTGTGGTTGGAGATAATCAGTCAGAGGTCATGGAATTGAAGTCCTTCGTTATCTTACCCGCTCGCTGTCCGATCAGTTGATTTGCGTATTGGGAGAGCTGACAAAAATCAGAACAATCTTTCTTCTCTGTCAGTGGCTCCACTCGAATACACCCGCTCCCCACCTCCCACTTACATTTCCAACTGAAGATCGCAAGTACCTCAGTCAATAGTACAGCATTTGACAAAACTCACCCATTCCCTACAATGCAGCTTTGACTGAATGTCAGTCCACATTGACTGGGAGGCAGACCCTACACCATTATTTATGGATTAAAACGTATCCAGGGGTCCCAGGAGAGAGAGAGAGAGAGAGAGAGGGAATACGGCATTGAGATACAGGATCAGCTATGATCATATTGAATGGCAGAGCAGGCTTGAATGGTCTAAAGGCCTACTCCTAGATTTTATGGAATCTTACAAACATTAGCCTCTCTCTTCAGCCTGCCTCTTATCCAGTGGGGCCTGGAGGAGCGAATTAAGGAAACTTGTGGATGCACTTCTACACCTGAAGCCAAGACTACAGCATAGCAAGCGGGCAGCACAGTGGCTAGCACTGGGTCCCGGGTTCAATTCCAGCCTCGGGCGACTGTCTGTGTGGAGTTTGCACATTCTCCTCCCGTCTGCGTGGGGCTCCTCCCACAGTCCAAAAGATGTGGACACTAGGTAGATTGACCATGCTAAACTGCCCATAGTGTTCAGGGGTGTGTACACTAGGTGGGTTAGTCATGGGAAATGCAGGGTTACAAGGACAGGGATGGTGTTGGGTCTGGGTTCTATGATGGTGTACAGCTAGTAGCAGACTGATGATTCCTACCAGCCATCTCAATCCAATGGACTGAGTCTTCAGAGGCCAGTGTCGGGCATGGAGTCAGCGCTAAATGAAAACGTAGCTGTACGCAAGGATGTTCTGTACGAGGTCGTTTTAAGTGAAATTGCAGATGCAAGCAGAAAAGGCACAAGCCAGATAGAACTGCTCAGCATCAGTCAGCACAATGTTTCCATCTGTATGCGGTGAGGATCTGGCAACACTGGGTTGAATAAATCTCAAACAGAGTCAAATTAACTCCAGAGACAGGTCCCTGGCACACCACAGTGAGAGGAAGAGACACTTGCATTTATATAGCACCATTCATGACGTCAGGATGTCCCGAAGTGCTTCATAAATCAACAAAGTACTCCTGAACTGCTGTAATCAATGGCTGTACAGCAAACTCCCACATACAGACTGTCTGTTTAGTGTCACCTTGCTGTGTTTCTGCTTGGGGAGCCCTTAGGACTCTGTATCTAGTTCAATAATTTTAGGCCTTGAACATCTCCTTCCATGTCTTTTACCCACCCACAACACCCCAGGCCCTAGTGTAACATGGGCTGCTTTCAGCACAGTCAACCTATCTTCCCCCACTCGTAGCCCCTATCTTCCCTGGCTTACCATCAACAATCTTGTTGTTTGCCTGACTTTTGTCCTCTCTCTGGGCTCTGTCTCCACCTATCCGCACACTCCTCTTACTGCACACACCCAACCCCCTCCCAGATCCTGCCATCAACAACATAAATACTGCTTTTTCTGAGCAGCAATCAGTTCTGAAGGGTCACTGTTCTCAAAACGTTAACTCTTGTTTCTCTTCCCACAGATGCTCCCAGAACTGCTGAATTTCTTCAGCAATTTCTGTTTTCATTTCAGATAGTCCATGTGCGCTTTGTTTTTTAAAAGCTAATGCTGATCGAGGGATAAATAACAGCCCAAGTCAGGGGCTCTTAAAATCCCCCGTGTGGATGCAGGCCATTCAGCCCATTGTGTCCACATCGACACTGAACAACATCCTACCCAGACCCACTCCATCCCTGTGTCTCTGCATTTCCCATGGCCAACCCACCTAGTCTGCACATCCCCGAACACTACTGGCAATTTAGCATGGCCAATCCACTTAGCCTGCACATCTTTGGACTGTGGGAGGAAACTGGAGCACCCGGAGGAAACCCACACAGAGAATGTGCAAACTCCACACAGACAGTTGCCCAGCAGTGGAATTGAATCTGGGTCCCTGGTGCTGTGAGGCAGCAGTGCTAAGCACTGAGCCACTGTGCAACCCCTTGATGGGTGAAGGGCTTTACTCCATGGTGCAGACCTCTACAACAAAAATACAACCTGCTGGTTCAGAGGAATGTGCATCCCCGAAGTCCGCATCTTCCTGATATTTTAAAATATCTGTATTTTAACAGTTGACATGAATAGATTGTAACCCAAATATCCATTTGGGAATCAGTGTTTGGAATTCTGCAGAATCCATGCTGTGTGCTTACAACAAAGCTCATGGAGGAAGAAATATACCAATTGTAACACACAAGCTCAACAGCCAACTAAGATCTAATCTTGTTATTTCTTTAGTTAAGATCTCAAATGAGCTGGAAAATAATTCACAATTGACGCTTTTGAAAAGAAAAGAAAGGCAGAAGTGAGAATGTTCCCAACATAGAGGGACTGGGAGAATACACAGCAATCTAGGTATGGTCTCACCAATGTCCTGGATAACTGAAATAAATGTCTTTATTCATAAAGACCTTTCCTTCTAGATGTCTCAGAGAGCTTCCTCTGTCAGCCTATACATGGCGACATGTTAGAAGGAGAGGTTGAACAGGCTGGGGCTATTTTCCCTGGACTGCCAAAGGCTGAGGGGTGACCTTATAGAGGTTTATAAAATCATGAGGGGCATGGATAGAGTGAATAGCCAAGGTCTTTTCCCCAGGGTGGGGGAGTCCATAACGAGAGGGTATAGGTTTAAGGTGAGAGGGGAAAGATTTAAGGGACCTAAGGGGCAACATTTTCACACAGAGGGTGGTGTGTGTGTGTGGAATGAGCTGCCAGAAGTAGTGGTGGAGGCTGGTACAATTACAACATTTAAAAGGCATCTGGATGGGTATATGAATAGGAAGGGGTTAGAGGGATATGGGCCAAATGCTGGTAAACGGGGCTATATCAGTTTAGGAAACTTGGTTGGAATGGACAAGTTGTGCTGAAGGGCCTGTTTCTGTGCTGTATGACACTGTTGACCCTACAGGTGGAGAAGCTAGACTACTGGAGGAACTCAATGCCACAGCAAGCGTGACACTTGCTCAATGCTGTTTAGACCAAAGGTTTGCTGAGCATTTAATGTGAAACTCTAACCAGGAGTAGCCAGATGTGAAGAAAATGTGGATAGAGGTGGGGTCTTGGGACTGGTTGGGGGTTGGTGGTGTAGCACATCCAAAAAGGGAACACAAACAGGGAAAACCATTTCGTCCATTCTTAGTGCCTTCACCTTCAAAGCAAAATTGACCATTCTGCCCCTTGCCATATTCCAGCCCCTTCACGAGCCTGTGTTGACGAATCACTGTTCATTACAGTGATTGAGACACAACAGGGGAGACCATCACCCACAGAGAATGTGCTCCATCCTAAGTTAGCCTGAATAGCTTGGACTGTGCCAAACTGCACAACAGCAGCGTGGAGTTACCTGCCTGCACCCCCCCCCCCCGCCCAAGGATACAGGAAATTAGAGAGCCATTTCCAATGGCAGAAAGGGAAGCGAGGGTTATGTCCCCAACTCAAACTGGCCACTTGCGTTTGAGAAGGGGAAAACATTAGCTTCTGCTCTTCTGTCATAACTTGTATCTGACAGTCAGCACCGAGATATGTTTCTAGTTAATACTAAACATGTTCTCATTTTAGGGGAATGCTTCCAATTACAGCAGTGCTGGAACGTTTTAGATTTTGCATATGCTGCAGGATAATAGAGAGAGAAAAAGAGGAACAAAATAGACGCCTGTATATCTGGCAACCGTCACCAATAACAGATGTACTGCCCACTCCGTCCACTTGGAAAAACTGAATCCTGGTATTGCTGCTGTACCAACAAGATTACCCAGCATGATTATTGCAAACCAAGTCTGGCCACCTCATTCTTTATTGCTACATCAGAAGGAGATGCACTCAAATTCTGAAATGATCACATTGTCTAGACATCATTTGGCATCAACCGTAATGTAGAATGAAATCTTAACCCAAGCCAAAAGAATTTCGCTTTTACATTGAGATATGTCCATGACCCTGGTGAAATGCAGGCATTTACTGCCCATCTCTTCCTGCCAGAGGGCAACCCCTCACATGGCACATGTCATCCAGACCTGATGGAGGTCGCTGATGAACAGTGTCAAACCAGTTGTGGGTGATTGCCACCGCTTCTCATGGTCCCATTTCAACTGAGACGGGGAGAAGTATCTTCACCCAGAGTGGCGAGCCTGTGGAATTCTGCGCCACAGAAAATGGTTGAGCCAAAACATTGGATGTTTTTGATAAGGGGTTACAGATAGTTCTTAGGACTAAAGGGATCAAAGGATAAGGGGAGAAAGCAGGAACGGGAACTGAGCTGGATGATCGACCATCGTATTCCATGGCAGAGCAGCTCCCAGGACTGAATGGCCTGCTGCTATCTTAGAGGTTTATATAATCTCAACCTAAAGATGTTTGAGGTCCATTTCACACATTGACCATAATGCCATTTGAATGCTCACACTGAGTTGCTAGCCCAGTATGGTACCCACAATATCTCTCCTTCCATCCTGAAGGTGTCTATTGCTGCTGGGATTTAACTTCACACATGGCAGCCTTCTTCTAGCAAGACCAGAGTAGCCAACCTTCATGAGCTGGCGAGAGCTAGGAGGGTATCTCAGCAACATGGGGTTTGCCACCTTCGTGCTTGTTCCTCAAATGCTAGCCATGAACCAGAGTGGAAACCTCAGCCTCGATCTTCGGCAGAAACTGTGCCAGCTGTTTCCTTGTAACTCTGTTCCCCATTCATTCAAGTTCTTTTGTATCCTTAAATCTCAAATAAGCATCAATCTTCCTTTTAAACCACTATCTATTCCCGGTGTTAGCACCTCCACAGGTTTGTCTGACAGTCTTGCATGAATCCAGATAAATATTGGGAAGACTGGAGCCATCTCAAACTGCACCATCTGGCCCCAAGCCAAGTTCCTGTTCCCATGTCCTCTCACAACAGAATACCTACTTACACATCAGCACCAACGCCCCATCCTCAGCTTCTACCTGCACCAAACTGTTGCTGAAATTTTCATGCATGCTTTTCACATCTCTGTACCTGATCGTGTCTGTTCTCTCCAAGCAGCCTTACTGTCCCCCCTACACTGTACTCAACTCTTACAAAACTGTTGTTAATATCCTCTTCTCCAGCAATCTCTCCATCATATCCAGCCTTACTTACAAATACCTCTATTCACCTTCAGTTCTAAACTTGACCCTAGAATTCGCCAATTCCGTTCTCTCCTAGTGTATTGCCCTTACACTACCATTGATGACTGACCTCTCAACCACTTTGCCCCATACTCAGATTTAATAGCCCACATTTAAGCTCTTAAATCCCTCTATGTTTACATCTTTCTCTTATTTAAGATTAAATTCATGCTCTTTGACAAAGCTGCGAGGATCACAAACATTAGAATTGTAACCATGCTGCTATTACAGCTCACTTTGCGCTGTCTTAAACATAGGTTCATTTTCTCCACACCTGTGACTCTTCTTTCCAACTTCCTGTTTCATCGGACAATTTGTGGGCAGTTTAATGTCCAAGGTGGGTTCCATTCATTCGCTGTGTCAAACGCTTTCCCCTTGTCCTTTACAAACTTCTTCAGCTAGGCTTCTCAGTGCAGGTTGCCTCAATGGTCTCACTGATGGTTCAGAGTTAGAGCTCAAGTCTCACCCTTGAGCACACGGCCTTGTCTGACCCTTCAGTACCAACGTGAGGCGGTAACTGAGGTCCCATTTGCCCTCTTGGGTGGATGCAAAGGAATCCCATGGAGCGATCCGGAAGAAATACAGGGAGAGTTCTTTCCCAAGTCCTGACAATATTTATCCTTCTCTCAACAACACCAGAAATAACATAGGCCAGAAGGTTGGAAATGAACCTTCAGAAAACAATGAATGGGAGGATCGAGTCCAATTCATTGCATTCTGCAAGGTTGTGAAGGCATTAGAGAGGACGCAAACAAAAAAATAAACAAGAAAAACTACACCATGGTGAGGAGCTTCATTTGTGAAGCTAGGTTGGAGAAGATGGGGCTGTTCTCCTCAGAGGACAGAAGCTTGAGCAGAGATTAGATAGAGGTGTTCAAAGTTACAAAGTGTTTTGCTAGAGAAATTCAAACAGGTCATAGTGCTGTACAGCATGAAAACAGGCCCTTTGGTCCAACTCGTCCATGCCAACCAGATATCCTAAATTAGTCTAGTCCCATTTGCCAGCATCTGGCCCATAGCCCCCTAAACTCTTCCTATTCATATAGCCATCCGGATGCATTTTAGATATTGTAATTGTACCAGCCTCCACCACTTCCTCTGCTAGCTCATTCCATACACGCACCACCCTCTGCATGAAAACATTGCCCCTTAGGTCCCTTCTAAATCTTTCCCCCTCTCCTTAAACCTATGCTGTCTCGTTTTGGACTCCCCTACCCTGGAGAAATGACCTTTGCTATTTATCCTATCAATGACCCTCACGATTCTATAAACCTCTAAGATCACCCCTCAGCCTCCAATGCACCAGGGAAAATAGCCCCAGCCTATTCAGCCTCTCCCTATAGCTCAAACCCTCCAACCCTGGCAACATCCTTGTAAATCTTTTCTGAACCCTTTCAAGTTTAACAACATCCTTCCTATAGCTTGGAGACCAGAATTGAACCCAGTATTGCAACAGTGGCCTAACCAATGCCCTGCACAGCCGCAACATGACCTCCCAAATACTATGCTCAATGCACTGATCAATAAAGGCAAGCATAGTCTATGTATGGAATGTGCACATTTTCCCCGTGTCTGCATGGGTGTCCTCCCAGTGCTCCGGTCTCCTCCCACAGCCCAAAGATGTGTAGGTTAGGGTGGATCAGCCATGCTACATTGCCTATAGTGCCCAGGGATATGTAGGCTAGGTGGGTTAGCTGTGGGAAATGCAGGGTTACAAGGAGAGGGTAGGGGGTGGGCCTGGGTAGGATGTTCTTCAGATATTTGGTGTGGGCCGAATGGCCCGCTTCCACACTTGTAGGGATTCTATGTAACGTATATCTTTCTCCATGTTGGATAACTTTGAAGTAGACAGGCCATTGAAGCAACAATTCAACTCAGACCTATGTGAGCCAAGTCTGGTACTGACCTCTCCTGCAACGAAGAACAGCAGTGGTGGATCCTCATCCTTTGCTTTATACTCCGAGAAAATCTCTTCTGCGATTGGTTGAATCAGTTGCTTCGCTGGTTCCAATTCCTCTTCTTCAGAATCTAAAGAAACGAAAGTCAAGACACTATCACGGCAGCTCAGGTGAGAACACCCTTCAAACTGTTCGACTCAGGCTCAAAAGTTATGGGAATGATGCAAAAGGGCTGGTCATCCACAACATGTACAACTTTCTCTGATTCTAACCAATCCATTTTGTCTCAAATTTTGGAGAAGTACTTTAGGGGAGATGATGCTTAGCGGTATTAATTGCTAGACTTAATCCAGAAACTCAGCTGGTGTTTGGGAAACTTGCTTCAAATCCCACCATGGCAGATGGTAGAATTTGAATTAAATAAAAATTTTAAAAAAGCCTGGAATTAAGAGTCTAATGATGACAATCAACAATGGATTCACGGTCAGGAAAAACCCATCTGGTTCACTAATGCCCTTTAGGGAAGGAAACTGCCATCCTTACCTGGTCTGGGCTACATGTGACTCCAGACCCATAGTGATGTGGTTGACTCTGAACTGCCCTTTGGGCAATTAAGGATGGACAATAAATACTGGCCTAGGCAGCGATGCCCTCACCCCGTGAATGAATAAAATACATTTTTTCCCCCTACCCTTTCTCAAGGCATCAAACAGTAGGGAGAGAAAGGGGGAATATAAACAAACAAAAAAGTTGTTGGAAAAACTCAGCAGGTCTGGCAGCATCTGTGGAGAAAAAGCAGAGTTAACACAGATCTTCTATCAATTTCTGTTTTTGCTTGTGATTCCCAGCACCCACAGTTAGAGTCATACAGCACAGAAACAGACCCTTTGATCCAACCAGTCCACACAGGCCATGTTCCCAAACTAAACTAGTTGCACTGGTCTACATATCCCTCCAAATCTTTCCTATTCATGTACCTGTCCAAGTGTTTAAATGTCATAATGTTACCTGCAACCACCACTTCCTCTGGCAGTTCTTTCCACTTTCCCAAATTGCTTAAATTTTAAGTTTAATTTTGATCTCACTGTGTGCCTTCTCTGCAGGTGAGACATTGTATTCCTTGCTCTGTTCTATTACCCTAAAGCAGTTTGTATGGTATGATCTGCCTGTACTGCACACAGAACAAAACATTTCACTGTAACCAGGTACATGTGACAATAATAAATCAAATCAAACTTTTTTTTGTTTAATGGGAATATGCCATTGAGATAGAGAATCAATCCTATTATACTCAATAGTGGAGCAGGTTGAAAGGGCTGAACAATCTACTCCTGCTCCTAGTTTGAGATAACAAGGTGTAGAGCTAGATGAACACAGCAGGCCAAGCAGCATCAGAGGAGCAGGAAAGCTGACATTTCGGGCCTAGACCCTTCATCAGAAATCTGATGGAGGGTCTAGGCCCAAAACATCAGCTTTCCTGCTCCTATGATGCTGCTGGGCCTGCTGTGTTCATCCAGCTCTACACCTTGTTATCTCACCCCTTAATTACTTGTGCATAATACACTACCTATGACCAGCCAGCTCAGACTCAGTGCCTGAACTGAGGAAATTCTGAATCCCCTGTTTATATCGGTCAGCCAGGACTTCCTGATTGGCTCATTAGCCAGGACTTCCTGATTGGCCCGTTAGCCAGGACTTCCTGATTGGTCCGTTAGCCAGGACTTCCTGATTGGCCCATTAGCCAGGACTTCCTGATTGGCCCAGGTTAACAATCCCAATCAAGGATCCAATTGTGACAGGTGGTATCTGTATGGGACTCTCTTCCACAAACTGACGCTCGATCAGATGTTAATTTGAAATCGGAGATTGATCAATAATAACCAAAGGCATGATGGGATATGAGATAGTGTTGGGAACGTGGAGGCGCCATGACCCCATGAATGGCAGAGTGGGCCTGAGAAACTAAATGGCCTCCCCATTATTCCTACATCCTGAGGGCACCATCTCTGGGAGACTTCAAGCTAAGGCAAACAATGGCCAAGCCTTGCATCCCACCAGCAGTTGCTGACGGGCTCCTGGGCGAGGAAGGGATATGTGGGGAGGCCAACTCCAGTGACTCTTCACCCAATCCTCGCGTTTGCCAATTCCAGTTGCCGTTTCTCTTCTCCCTCGACTGAAAGCGTGGGTCATGGTGGGCCTGCATTCCACAGATATCCTCAGGCCCCGCCCCTCGGTTATATTGCCAACAGGAGGCCATTCCGCAGAAGGGGACATCACAGGGGCCAGCCAAGCCGAATCCTCACTTGTACTGACAGGAGTAGGGGTGTGCCTGGTTAAATTCCTGCCTTCCTAGTCCAGGGACACAGAGGTCGGTATTGATCATTGCACTGAGTGTCCGAGCCCAAAAACTTCCACTGCAGACTGGGCAATCATCACTTTAAGTACAGAACAAATTTGTGCGCTACTTGACAGAGCTTTAGCTTTTGTTTCATCATTTTGTATCGCGGAGGTGTGAAAGTTCCTTCCAGAAACAAAACAACCTCAAAAGATGTTTGCAGTCAGCCAAATAGGTAAGGCCAAATAATTAATAAGATAAAAATTAATAAAATAAAATAGTTAATAGCCAAATAATTAATCCATTTGAGGATTTTTAAAGTATTTCAGTCAACCTGCTTGGACATCTCTGTGGCAGAGGGACTTGAACCTGGACCTTCTGGCCAAGTTGGTGGACTTTTATACTGGCATCTTTCTTTCAAAAGAATGGCCAGAAAGATCCTTTGGTGCTTGCTAACCCTCAAATTTCAGAGTCACGTTAACAGGGGTCAGAATACAAAATTAAAAGAAAGAGTGTGTGAGTAGCCTATTCACATTGTGCTGGTCCCATTCGATTTTGAGTCACAGAGATGTACAGCGCAGGAATGACTCTTCGGTCCAACTCGTCCATGCCGACCAGATATCCTAAATTAATCTAGTCCCATGTGCCAATATTTGGCCCATTCCCTCTAAACCCTTCCTATTCATATACCCATCCAGATGACTTTTAAATGTTGTAATTGTAGACACTTACACCACTTCCTCTGGCATCTCATTCCATACACGCACCGCCCTCTGTGTGAAAATGTTGTCCCTTAGGTCCCTTTTAAATCTTTCCCCTCTCACCTTAAACCTATGCCCTCTCATTTTGGACTCCCCTACCCTGAGGAAAAGACCCTATCCATGCCTCTCATGATTTTATAAGTTTCTACAAGGTCACCTCTTAGCCTCTGATGCCCAAGGAAAAAAATCCCCAGCCTATTCAATCTCTCACTATAATTCAAACCCTCCAAACCTGGCAACATCCTTTTAAATATTTTCTGAACCCTCTCAAGTTTCACAACATTTTTCCTGTAGCAGGAAGACCAGAATTGAATGCAGTATTCCAAAAGTGGCCTAACCAATGTCCCGTACAGCCACAATATGGCCTCCCAACTTCCATACCCAGATCACTGACCAATAAAGACAAGCGTACCTAACACCTTCTTCACTACCCTGTCTACCTGCAACTCCACCTTCAAGGAACTATGATTTGAGGCGAGTATTCCTGGTCTGAATTTCTTTTGTGTTTTCTGTCTCTCGGGTAGGCTGATTGTATAGCTATGAAAAAGACAAAGATTTTTGCAGACCAAACTGAATGCTAATTGGATGAGGTGAAGTAGGGTGGGAGGAGGCTTACGTCTAGCACAAATGCTAGCATAGTCCAGATGGGCGGAAAGGCCTTTGGCTGCACTGAAGATAATTGATAACTACTGCTCTACACTTCCCACTTCCAGTACAACCGTTTACTTTCACATAGTCAGGTGTTTCTGAGCAAAATCTACATAGTTACACTGACTCTCGCTTTTGGCACTGATCCCAGTACCTACCGGAGAGATAGAAAATACAACAGAAATTCAGAGTAGCCTCAAATCATAGTTCCTTGAAGGTGGAGTTGCAGGTAGACAGGGTAGTGAAGAAGGTGTTAGGTACGCTTGTCTTTATTGGTCAGTGATCTGGGTATGGAAGTTGGGAGGCCATATTGTGGCTGTACGGGACATTGGTTAGGCCACTTTTGGAATACTGCATTCAATTCTGGTCTCCCTGCTACAGGAAAAATGTTGTGAAACTTGAGAGGGTTCAGAAAATATTTAAAAGGATGTTGCCAGGATTGGAGGGTTTGAGTTACAGCCAGAGATTGAATAGGCCGGGGATTTTTTTCCTTGGGCATCAGAGGCTAAGATGTGACCTTGTGATCCCAATAACGAGCACCTCCATCTGTTTATTTTCAGGTTACAAAGAGTTAAGTTTCTTGGTGGTCGACAACGGTATCTGAGCAAAACTGAACGTTAGACACGGGGGCAGAAGGATGTTGAAGGCAGCAAGCAAAATTAAACCAAGATCAAGCACAAATCAAAGGCAATAACTCAGGGCAGGTCAAGGCCATGAGAGGGACATGGCTTCGACTGGAATCCAGCAAGACACAGGAGCGAGGCTCTAGGGAAAAATACAAGGAGCATCGCTCAAGGGTGCGAAAGCAAGGCCACGAAGACACCTGAAGCAGCAGTCTGGAAAGTAGGTGGAGGCAGAGGATGGAATTGAGGCTGGGTGGTCCTCAATCGACACCTCCTGAAACTCGCACAAAATATCTCATCAAGTGTGTGGCCTGACTAAAAAAAATACAAAGCATATGGTGCACGAACAGGCCTGTCTTGGTGCTATGCACTCTCCAACCATTTTCACATGCAAACAGAAAACTCCATCAAAAGTCTCATAGAATCATAGACTCCCTACAGTGTGGAAACAGGCCCTTAGGCCCAACAAGTCCACACTGACCCTCAGAGCATCCCATCCAGACCCATCCCCTATAAACCCACCTAATCCTCACATCCCTGAACACTATGGGTAATTTAGCATGGCCAACCCACTGAGCCTGCACATCTTTGGACTGTGGGAGGAAACCGGAGCACCTGTAGGAAACCCACACAGACGTGGAGAATGTGCAAACCCCACACAGTCACCCAAGGGTGGAATTGAACCCAGGTCCCTGGTGCTGTGAGGCAGTAGTCCCTTCCTACAAGAAAATGTAACTGAATGTTGAGCATCCACTAGCAAGCTTTTCTTTCTTTTCATTATCAGGGAGGTCAAGCCAATCAGCCCTGGGGTCTGATATACAATTAAATGGCAATAAGACAGGATTCACTTTTAGGGAATGCATCTGGGAGATGGAAGGTTCATCACTGGGAGAACCACTCAGGGACAGTGGTCATAAATCAGCTGGATTTTGGGAATTTTCAGAGAAGGATAAGGAGAGATCGGGAGTCAAAATTTGCACTTGGGAAATTAAAGGCAATTTTAGTAAACTGGGAATGTGCTTTGGCAAAAGTGGACTGGGAACAGCTACTTGAAGGGAAAACAACATCAGAGCAGTGGGAGATAGGAAGAGGTCAGAACAAATTTGTTCCCAGAAAGACTGAACTTCACAAATATCAAAGACTGTACAGAGCAGAATAAAACGAAAGAAAAAAGTTCAGGCTCGTGCCAAAATTTTAGTAGCACAGGAAATCACAAGAGTATAGAAAGTGCAGAGGCGAAATTGGAAAGAATTTAGACAATTAGAAAGGGGATTGAGAAAAAAAATTAATGGCAAGGAAAACCCAAATATGGTTTAATGCAAGGACAACAAGAGTGTAACTAAGGCAATGGTCAGGATAGTTGTTTGTGAAAGTGAAAGAGTGGCCATGGTTCTTAGTGATTATTTTTTGTCAGTTTTCCCAATGGAGAAGGACAAAGCAGATGTTGTATTTAAAGAGGAGGCGTGTGTAATATTGGATGGGATAAACATAGTGAGGGTGAGACATATTAAAATGCTTAGCATCCTCAAAAGTGGAGATGTCACTAGGTCTGGATGAAATATATTGTGGACCATGAAGGGAAACAATAACGGAGGATTATGTAGGGGACAACGGAGCGTCGGAGATTGACTCTGGAGGATCGGGGCTGAGGGGTGACCTTATAGAGGTTTACAAAGGTCATGGATAGGGTGAATAGCCAAGGTCTTTTTCCCAGGGTAGGGGAGACCAAAACTAGAGGGCATAGGTTCAAGGTGAGAGGGGGTAAGATTTAAAAGGGACTTAAGGGACAACTTTTTCACACAGAGGGTCGTGCGTGTATGGAATAAGCTGCCAGAGGAAGTGGTGGAGGCTGGTACAATTACAACATTTAAAAGGCATCTGGATGGTTACATGAATGGGAAGGGTTTAGAGGGATATGGGCCAAAAGCTGGCAAAATGGGCCAGATGAGTTTAGGATATCTGATCGGCATGGACGAGTTGGACCGTAGGGTGTGTTTCCTTGCTGTACATCTCGATGACTCTAATTAGAACCAGTCATGTAACGTTTGGTGGTGGGCAATTTATTGGAAATCTGCAAAGATTGTGAACAGTACAGGTCTTGATCCTGAAGGTATCCCAATGGTCACAGCCTTCCAACCTGAAAATAACTAGTTAGTTTGCATTCTATCCTCTTTCCAATAGCCAACCATCAACCTGAGCCAGTATATTACTCCCTATCCCACATGCTCATTCTCTTTATTAATCTTTCATGTGGGACCTTTTCCTTAATGTGAGTGTATAGAATTATGAACAGCCTGGATGATTGGGCCAACAAGGACATGGTTCTGTTAGAAACAGGGCAATAACCTGGGGCTGTAGTTTTGAAGCAATTTGTAGGGGGTTGGGGGGAGGAGTGAAGAAGCTGTGGAGTATGTTTTTCACTAGAGGGTGTTGGGGCTTGGTGGGACCCACTCCCTGAAGAGTTGGTGAAAGCAGAAATCCGTGTTGCACATTAAAATAAACCACTTGGAATGCTGTAGCTCACCAAGAGCTGACATTTGGGATTCAGATGGATTGCAATTTCTCAACCAGCTCGAAGGTATGAGGCTAATAGCCTCCTCCTCTGTGTAAATCTTTTTAAAATTTTGTCCCATGTTTCTAAGGGACACAAGTGATCTTGGAAAACCATCAGCTGGGTTGCTCAGCCTTTTTCAACCGGTTGCACTCAGGTTTTAAAATGTTCCATAATTTATGTACATATGCGTTAACACATATGTGCTAACACAGACATGTATACACACGCACGTGTGTGAGACAGACAGAGAGAGAAAGGGGTGAGAGAGAGAAAAAGAGAGAGAGGGAGAAAGTACGAGGGAGAGAGTGAGGGAGAAACAGAGAGAGGGAGGGTGGAAAAGAAAGGGAGAGAGAGAGCGAGGTAAAAAAAGAGAGAGATTGAGGGTCAAAGAGAGAGCAAGGGAGAAAGAGAGCACCAGGGAGAAAGAAAGTGAGAGAAAAAGACAGTGAGGGAGAAAGAGAATGAGGGAGAAAGAGAGTGTGAGGGGGAGAGAGAGTGTGTGAGGGAGAGAGACAGACAGAATGAAGGAGAAAGAAAGAATGAGAGAGAAAGAGAGTGTGAGGGGCAATGATAGTGAGAGGGAAAGAGAGAGAGCAAGGGAGAAACAGTGAAGGGGATGAGAAAGGGAGAGTGAGGGAGAGAGCGCAGGAGAAAGACAGCGAGGGAGAAAGAGTGAGTGAGGAAGAAAGAGATATACACATACATACAAGTGCAGAGGGAGCAACGTGACTAACATTGCATACCTACAAACAGAACAAGGCTTGGCCTCTCGTTCAGCTGTAAGGCACTTGACTCTGTCAGCTCTAATACTGGTTTTGGATGCCACGGAAATTCTTTGCAATCTATGTCATTGAGCACCGCTGGCCTCCCCTGGCGTGTGACTATCTTCCCCTCCTGGTCCAGGATAAGGAGAGTCGGAATGCCTGCATTTAAAGCAAAACATCAGTGATTATTTGGTGTTTCTGCTCAATGTTGACCCAATAATCAGTCAAGATCATCACATTCCTCCAAATGGCTTGGTGCATCTTATACAAGTCCTTTTACGCATCTGGATGCTGTAATCAAATCCCAATTGGGGATCATGAATGCTATAACCTGTGCAACTGATCTCAAAGTGTATTAGCTGGATCATCCTGTTGTGAACTGGCTCTCCAGGATCTCACTTTCTTTCAGACTGTCAGGTTTCCCTGCTTGAGGAGGTAAAGGATTCCTGAGTAACACTCTTGCTGATAGGAGATGTGGCTCACCTCTGGCGTACTGTGAGCAGTTTTGCTCTCTTGTAGTTAAAAATCACGCAACACCAAGTTGTAGTCCAACAGGCTTATTTGAAGACACAAGCTTTCTGAGTCTCGACTTCAAATAAACCTGTTAGACTATAACCTGGCGTCGTGTGATTTTTGACCTTGACCACCCCAATGCAAGACCAGCATCTCCATTTCATGGCTCTTACAATTAAGGAAGCGTAGATGTGCTTTGGAGGGGAACCAGTGTAAGATGATTATGTTGATCTCTGGGATGAGGAGGCTGTCCAATGATGAGAGATTGAGCAAACTGGGTCTATATTGTTTGGAGTTAAGGAGATTGGGAGATGAGTTCTATCTACAGCAGGAGGACTGCAGCGGTTCAAGAAGGCAGCTCACCACCACCTTCTCAAGGGCAACTAGGGACAGGCAATAAATGGCGGGCGCAGCCAGCAACGCCCACATCCCACAAGAGAATAAAAACAAAATCCTAACAAAATCATAGGAATTCTTTCCCCCAGACGGCTATACATGTTCCTTCACTGAATCAGTTTAAGGCTGGGGGGGGAAATGGATGTTTGGTCTCTCAAGGTGAAAAACAGAGTTTAAGTGGAAGATCAGCTGCAATTGCATTGAATGGCGGAGCAAGGCTTGACAGGCCGAATGGTCTTTGCCTGCTCCTTCTCTCTGGGTTCTCGGGGACTGGAACTGATCCTGATTTAAGAGGCACACCTTGGAATGGACTCGATATGACAATTACAAAACGGTTGACAATGGCTGATTAGTCTCTGCTGGGATTCAGAACGGTGAACCTTCCTGTGTGCCACCTAGGGTGGTCTGAGCTGGACAAGTTGCACAAAGTTGGTGAATGCTTGGTGGGTTTGCACACTGAACCAGAGCACGTTCCCTAAGCTGTACATCACTGGAGATACCACAAGCCCCAGAATCCCAACATTCTGCACAGAAACTTATTGGGATTAGATACTTGGAATTGGGTGTGCACAGAGAATGTGTGTGGGACTCACATTAGGCAAATACATACATTATTTACATCGATTTCACAGTAGATTGGTTTGGCAATCTTAAAAACATGACAATAATTTCTCATATAGAACCAGGAGGTCATTCAGCCTCTTGAGATGTCATGATGATCTATATGCTAAATCCCTTTACCTTCCTTCATCAGTTTACACAACAAAAATGTATTGGTACTGAAAGCAAAATACTAAAGGTGACGGAAATAGGAACATAGAACAGTACAGCACAATACAGGCCCTTCGGCCCATGATGTTGTGCTGACCTATTATCCTACTAAGATCAAACTACCCTGCATACCCTACATTTTACTATCCTCCATGTGCCTATCCATAGAATAAGAACAGAAATTGCTGGTGAAACTCCTCTAGTCCTGAAGCATCTGCAGAAAGAGATACAGAGTTAATGTTTCAAATCCAGAATGACTCTTCTTCCAAATTTCACCAAGTATCAGTCTTCGTTTAGAACGTTTCTCTTGATCCCCAGCCTAACCCTCACCCTCTCTTGCTGCCTCAACAGTTTTATAGGAGAGAGAGAGAGAGAGAGCCCGATTCACGTGAAGAGATGCTTCCTCATATCACACCCAAATGGCTGGGATCATTTTAAGGCAATCCCTCCTTGTTCTAGGCTTCCCCAACAGAGAGGGGTAACGGGTGAAACTGGTCTCCATCGGTGGAGGAATTGAGAATTGGTGCGAGTGATTTCATGCAACTAGCGCAAGCAGCAATGTGGGCAAACATTTTTACACAAGGAGGGACTTGGACCAGGGTTCAAGGGTACAGGGGAAAGAAAGCAGGAGCAAAGAACCAGGTGAATCGCTCTTGTGAAAAGAGTCAGAATGATGGGCCCAATGGCCTACTTTTGTGCTGGAACCGTTCTAGGTCCAGTCCTAACAACTGAACCCATGCAATCCTGGTACCAGACTGGTGAAACACAGATGATTAAGACAGTTAACACTGCAAGGTCTTAAAGCTCAGGAACCACTACTACAGTCCCATCCTCTGCTACATTGCCAGTCAGTGGGGGAGACACTGAGACAAGAATTGAAGGGGGAAGGGTGAGGGAGAAACTGACAGAGAACTCGAATTTTTAAAAAATGCTTCTAGAAAATAAAAGCTAAAAAAAATTAAAAAGTGACCATGGGACAGCTCAGTGGCTCAGTGGTTAGCACTGCTGCCTCACAGCGCCAGGGACCCGGGTTCAATTCCAGCCTCTGGTGATTGTCTGTGTGGAGTTTGCACATTCTCCCCGTGTCTGCGTGGGTTTCCTCCGGGTGCTCCAGTTTCCTGCATCGGGTCAGTGTGCACTGGATGGGCCAAATGGCCTGCTTACATACTGCAGGGATTCTATGAAATACCACTACTGGGGAATGAGAGGTTATAGTACCAACAGTTTCTTGAAACATGTTCTGAGGAAGGGTTACTGGACCTGAAATGTTAACTCTGCTTTCTCTCTCCACAGATGCTGCCAGACCTGCTGAGTTTTCCCAGCAATTTCTGTTTTTTTGTTTCTGATTTCCAGCATCTGCAGTTCTTTGAATTTTTATGTACTTACATTCGCTGGATCCTGTAAAGATACAAAGAGTTGCACTTCTTCTCATTTCACTTTGTTTGATGAACTGTTCATCACTCCAGCATTAAATGGAATGAGAGAGGGATGGAGATGGCACAGGGAGCTAGGCGGGGGTGGGTGTTCTCATAATATAATTTAATACGCTAGTGTTAATGTTAGAGACGTATGTAAAACTAACAGGCCAGAGCCAAAACATTGGTTGAGTAAATATGCACAGCAGATGAACAAGACTGAAGTCAATCCCACTGAAACCTCATTAGAGCAGTGACAGCTCCCGATACAAAGTGAATTCTCTGTTTAGTCACGCCTCTCACAGCCGAAATGATTTAACACCAGAGTGACTACAGGATTCTGTTTAAAACACGTCACCATCACTGCTGCTGCTATAAATCAAACTCAGACAGGATTGCAAATCAACTTTAAGTGACCATTAAAAGTTTGCTGGCATATTCTCTTCCAGTCTGACAATTAGAACTACAATAATTTGAAGTACAAGTACACATCTGTAATTCAAACACATCCAGTGCACAATGGTTCAAACTTTCAAAAGGATGCAATATTGATTGCCATTCACAAACAAGGGGGTGATAAGCACAATGGTGGGGGTGAATTTGAGATCCCCTGGGAGCAGTTGTTGTTGTTGTAGATGTCATCCTGGGTCAGCAGGGAGTGTGCTCCCCTCTCTGAATCATGAAGTTTGAGAGGTGAGGTTGTTATGGCTGGGACGGGTGGAATGCACAGCCAGTCAAGCCCCATTACTTCACTGATTGAACCATTAGCTAGTTAGCTCAGTTCACTGAACGGCTGGCTCGCTATGCACAGCGATGCCAACAGCGTGGGTCCAATGCCCACACCAGCTGGTGTTACCATGAAGGACTCTCCTTCTCAACCTCTCCCCTCACCTGAAGTGTGGTGACCCTCAGGTTAAACCACCACCAGTTGCCTCTCTCCAATGACAGAACAGCCCTATGGTCTTTGTAAGACTATGGCCCTTTACCTTATTTTGACTTAATCACCGACAGGGCTAACTGTTTTCCTACTGGCGCTGTTATCCAGAATAAACAAGGCTTTCAACACATTTCTTGGTTTTAGAAATACATCTCGGCTATAATCCACAATTGGAACTTTATTTCTTTTCAATCCCCAAAACAGATGTGCATGCGCACGCACGCGCACATGCACACAACACACAAATGCACACACGCGTACCACACACACATGCAACACACAAACACACACTCAACACACGCACAACACACAAATGCACAAAACACACAAATGCACACATGCACACCACACACACATGCAACACACACACACGCGCGCGCACGCACACACATACAAAGATAACAAAGTCAGTGCTGAGATAATGTTTTTAAAAAAGGCTTCAAAAGGTAAGACACTCTTATTGGCCCCAATGGTCTGAACACAAATGACAGAGTTTAATGAGTTCTCATGGTCCTTCAGGCTTCTTGTTGACAAAAACTGAATTGTTGACAGGTGTAGATTGCTAGAAGATCTTCCAAACAAGTTTCGCTTTGGATGGAAATGAAGTTGGTTCCAAGTCTTTGGAAAGAGGTCAAACTTCAGGGTTTATAACATATTCAAAATACTGAGATGTGTAAATTTTGCTCAGGTCCCCAATTACTTCAACTAGGAGAAGGTGAGAAAGCCTTTCAGTCTTACTGTGGCTTTCAAAGTTTTTCTTCTATCTGATTCCTTAGGTTGATGAAGCAGAACTGAAGACCAGAAAACATTGCTAGGCAACCATCAGCAGTAGTCCAGTATTTTTTCCAGCAATTAAAGGCAACCTGTTATCTCCCTAAAGGTTTGACTAGGCTGCTTTCCTTGACTTTTTGCCCACATTAACCTGTTGACCTCATATCCAGGAAATGAGAAGTTCTTTTCTCCTTGGAAGAACCTCTTTCTAATCCAGAAAGTGTCCAAACAGTTCAATATCTTCTAGTTTTCCATGTAGTTCATTAACACTTGCTGTACATAAACTGGCTGCTATGTTTCCTGCTGGCTACGTTATCCTGCCTGGCCTGTACTTGATTTCAGAACCACAGAAATAT